GCGTTCGGCGCGCACACAGCGGCGGCATCGGTCAGCGGCCGCGATGGGGCCGGCGCACGCCACCGGCCGCCGCCGGGTATATTTACACGGGAGAGCCAGAGTGACTCAGGCGGGCGGCGTGCGCGGTACGTCCGGTGCCGGCCGCGTCGGCTCGGTCGGAGAACCGCGGGCGGCAGCGCGCCTGGGGTCGCCTCTGCCGCAGGTCTCCGGGCCTCGGTGGGAAGTTACCCTGTTTACGTGGGCAGCTTTGATTCGAACTGAGCAGGGACCCGTCCTCGATCCGAACTATCCGGCCCATGTATACACTCACGCGCCGTTCCGCTGATTCGAATCGTGCGCCGGAGGAAATCCCTTCCCGCGAGAGGATCGTCCGTGCAGGAAGGGATTTCGTTCGAATTATCGGCCGTCAGCTGTCTAAACAAAACAAAAAAAAAGAAAGAAAAATGCCTGGCGCACGCAGTTCTGTTCATGGCCATTTCAGCTTTGTTTGGTGTTGCTGCTTTTCCACGGGTTTTTAGCTATTGCTCGAGACGGTCCAAGTCCAAGATGGTAAAGGGAAAGGGAAAGAAGGTGAAGTTGACACCATGCTGCTAAAACTACTCTAATTATTGAGGGCCTAAAGTGGCTAGCAGCACAGAAATGCTCACGTAATTTAGCATTGTTAGGCGCTTGATCTATGCAAACAGCAGGCGTCGGCGGTGTTTGGTGTTAACTTTCCGCCTAAAGGTTAGGTTAATTTACATCTGGGACGGGCTCCATGCTTCCAAAAGCCAGATGGAGGTAACATGGTCATTTTATATAGCTTTGACTTGTTCTCACTTTAATTTTTGGATTGCTCAAAATTCTTGCAGAGAATGCCTGTAAGTTTCTTTCGTTAAGTTAATACCTTAAGGCCCCAGGAGTGTTTTTGCAGATGTTCCTTAAATTAGGATGCTGGCTGCTTGCCAGTTTAATTTGTGTGAGAAAGGTAACTCAAAAATTCCTGCATGATATGACGGATCAACAAATCTAGATCATTGCAGTCAGCTCGAAATGTGAACTTTTTTCATGATAGGACCGAAATTGCCCAATGATGGGGTCAAAACGTCAAGAAAGCAAATGTGAACACTGGATGAAAATAGTTGTCATTACTCTGCTAAATCCAAGTTTGTGTGTTCCATGTGCAAGAAAACGGTGCATAAACTAGCACCTAACATGTTGTCACACTCTGCATGGAGAACACGTCTGTGTTGCATATCATCACCTGTTTTTGTACTGGTGATTAAATATGTCACCTTGGTGCTTTTTTGTGATGGGTGTCTGCAGGCCATGAGGTAGGTAATTCAACTGTTCAACAATTCTTGCAGAGAATACCAATAGTTCCTTTCATTAAGTGAATACATAACTGCCCCAGGATTAATTTTGCAGACATTCCTCCTGTGACTTGAACATTTGGTTGACCACCTATTGGCTGGAGGGATGTGCTGAATATTGGTGACTGGCTCGTCAAGGAAGTATGAAGTTACATCACACTGGTAGACCAACTGGCAAGGAAGCAGGGGCTGGAATATTTGTTTTTGATGAAATTAGGCTGTTTTTTGCTTGTCAGTTTCATGTGTGTGAGACAGGTAACTCAATAATTCCTTCATGATGCTAAGGATCAACAAATATAGACAATAGATTATTGCAGTCACTGCAGAATGTGAACTATTTTTAATGATGGGACCAAAATTGCCCAGTGATGGTTTCAAAATGTCAAGAAAGCAAATGTGAGCACTGGGTGACAATAGCTGTCATCAGTACTCTGCCAAATCCAGGTTTGTGCTTGTCATGTGGAAGAAAACTGCATAAATCAAGTAAACCTAACCTAATGCCACATGATGCACAGAGAACATATCTATGGTGCACATCATTACCTGTTTTTGCACTGGTGAGTAAATTGTTACCTTGGTGCTTTTTTGTGATGTGTATCTTTGCAGACCATGAGGTGGATAATTGAACCATTGCTATAATGAATAATTTGTTATGAATTTTGAGCCAAGATTGCTTTCTTCACAACACAGCTCTTGGGCTGGTTCACATGTTATGATCTTTGGACTGTGCAAACACAGCTGTTTGTGCCACCTAGCCATCAGTCCATATCAGCCAATGCTGTTGACTGCAAGGATATCAAAGCAGTATTTCAACCCTGGTATGTCAAGAAAGCAAATAGCTGCATTCTGACTTGCCAGTCCATGCCAAGTCTGAATGACAATGCTGCCCTCAGGTACTGATGATGCATTGGATGGGGAAAGACAACATAGTTACACAATTTTTGCCACTAGCTATGTAGCATTCATGAGTCATTTATGTAGCTTAGCTCACTGCTGCAGGCTGCTCATAAATGCATTAGTGTGGGAGCAGGTAATGTGTTTCTTGGGCTGCGCAAAGTAGATGACATGATGCTTGGTGCCGTACTGATTTGAGTGTGGTAAGTTTGTGAGCGTCATTGGCCAATACAAGAAAATACCGATTTCCTGCTAGCCAAAGTTTCCCGCTAGTAAAAATGTTCATATAACACTGCTTATGTGACCGATTTGGCAGTGCTGACTGCGCAACTTTTGTGTTTCAAGTGCTATGGCTTGTGCTGTAGCTATAAAGCCTATGAGTCCCGCACAGATAATTTTTCCAACGGAGTCCATCTTCCTCCTCGCCCTCAACGCCGTCTCGCGCCCACCATGGCTCGTGACATTCGCCATGCATACGCAGAGTACCGGCTTTTTTCTTCTTGTTTTGTTCAGTTCGCCTCAAAAGCGCAGTTTTCGCCCATAATCCGTTCCTTGATTCGAACTAAGCGGGATCGAACTATCGACCGTCAATCCGACGTAAAGCCGGTTTCGCCCATGTAAACGCCCCTCGCCGAGAGGGTTAACGTCGCATGATCCGTTCCGATCTTAATTCGAATTATCCTCGGCTGCCCATGTAAACCGGGTGAATGTTATCCACATCACAACGCCGGACCGCTACCGGGCTTATTCCATGGTGACCTGTTCCGGTGCATGTCGCGCCGTGTGGGCGCTGCGTCAGTCCGGCTTGTTTTTGTTGTGAACAGGTGGTGCCCGTCACCACCGGCCGCGCGCGAGGCGGCGGCCGGCAGCTGATGGCTGCCGAGGGGAGGTGGTGGGGGGGGGGGGGGGGGAAGGGAGGGGAGGGGGTCGTGTGAAGCGGCCAGCAGCAAGTGCGGCGACCCGCCACTCTGCGCCACCAGCGCCATCTGACGCGCTGACACGAGCCGGGCACCCTGTCTCGCCGGCCGGTGCGCCGTCGTATGAGTGAGCGCTCCGGGACCGGCGGCGCACGCTGCTGATCAGTCAGCGGGCGCAGCGCGGTGATGGCGGCTGCCGTCGTCCCATGCTGACGTCACACTGCCGGCGATAGGGCCGCTTCCTCCGTCCGGCTGCTGCATGCTGCTGCGTCCGGGCGGAGAGCACGCGTGTTTGTGGCCGTGCACTGCGTCGGGCTCGGTGCCGGGGTGCTGTGGCCGAGCCGGCGGGCGCGGCTTCAGGGCCGGTACAGGACAGCCGCGGCGGCTGCCTGTCCGCGGGCCGGGCCGCTCTGAGGTCGGCGGGCCAGGCCGTCCAGCTGTGCCGGTCCGTCCGGCGCGCGATGGTGCGTCTCGCCGCAGCGGCGCAGCATGGGGCGGCGGTTTGGGTCGGGCCTGGCCCGGGACCCCCGGCCGGCGGCGGCGGAGGCACCCCCGCAGCGAGCCTGCGCGGCAACTGCGTCACACGGTGCTGTGATTAGTCATGCGGGCGCGTAGTGTCCGGAGCCGGAGCGCCGTCGCGTGGGGCCCCGAAACGGTGCGAGTCCTCGGACCATAAGGTGTGCCATGTCTGGACGTCCGAGTGAACGACCCCCGTGCTGCCGTGCCGTTTTGGTCCGACGAAGAGGTGCACGGATTGTGCGACGGTCCGTTCAGTTCAGGCTTACAGACCGGTTCTGCCGGTGTGACCTGCCTGTCGACTGGGGGGTTTAGATATCAAGGCCGCTCTCGGCATGCGTCAGCGCTGATCGTTGTGACCGTCTGGGGCGAAGTAATGTTTGCGCAGTGGATGAGTAAGATGGGCTGGGCTGGTCGGATTCCAGTTACGTGCGTGCTAAGTTTCAAAAGTACCATGTAGCCCATGGGCCGTGCAGTCATGCAAAGTATGGAAACAACATAATGATCTAGGCACACCAAGGTACTTAGGCGATGTGTTCTCAGAAATGCTGCTTCAGACACTCACTGTCAGGCGCGCCTGTTGGAGCCAACTCGAAATCTGTGCAGGCAAAATGAACTTGGGAGTCAGAGTGCTCTTCGAAGTTTTCTAAGCACACTCCAGATCTGTGGCAACTCTCCCGGTAATGGCGACGTGGTCCTGTTCTCTAAGTCAACGGCGACCAAGTGGGGCTGGGGGTGGGGGCCGATGAGCTCACCGCCACCAGAACAACGGCTGACAAACAGACGCAGGGGTATCAGCGCCCCTCCATTTGGCGACATTCGTAATCCTGTCTACCTTCTTGTTCTGTCGACCGGAGATCCCCCGGCGGGTGTCCTTTGACGCGGCGCGCCGGCCGGGCCCTTGTGCTCGCGCTGCCGCGCCGGCCGTTTAAGTACGGTTTCATTACGACGGCATTGTTGGCCGGTGCACCTGCCGCTGCCTCGGGAGTCCTTCACCCCGGCCGGCCGGGCGCCGCCGGTATTTTCGGCTGCCGCTCGCCAACGGTCGCACGCTGTTTGAATCACGCACGGCGGAAGCGAAGCCTGCGCGGAGGCAGCGGCGACGCGATTGGCCCACGGCTGCTGCCTTCTGACTGAGTCCGTGACGAGCGGCCGCCGCTGGCCGCAGGCCGCGTTGGTGACGCGGCTTAACCGCCGTCCTGTCTGTGGTTCGCTGGTTGTTTGTGCTCGGCATCGGCGGCCGCTGGGGACGGCTGAGGGTAGCCGGCTGGCCGCGCCGGGCCCCCTGACCCAGATAGGGCGTGCGCGTCTGTGGACGGAGAGACACGGCCTACTGCTGAGAGACGGACGGAGAGGGCAGCGGCGGCGGCCGGTGCCGGTCCGCGACACGGACACGGACACGGACACGGACACGGCAGCAGCAGCAGGGGAGGCGGGGGGGGGGGGGGGGGAGGGAGGATGCGGGTGCGCCGCTGCTCGTAAAGCGCCGCTGCTGGCAGGCCGGGACGGAGCACGCCGCCGTCCGGACTGCCCAATAGCCACTTGGTTTGTGCCGTGACGAGGCCCTTACGCGTCTGCCGGCGCCGGTCAGGCGCTCAAAACATACCGACGCTGGGCTGCATTGGAAAACGGGCTGGTCCATTACGCCACGCAAGCAAGGCTTTCCATGCCACCTGTTTGACGGGTTGGCAGCTTTTCGGTTTTTTTTTCGCTGGTTGAGAACCCTTTTCCTCATGTCAGCGTGCTGGTTCGTCCTATTCGACGCGATGGTTCACGGCAGGCGTTCCTTTCGAGATCACACTGGCACTAACTCAGGAACTTCCTCTGGGTTTTTGCTCGAATTATTGCGTGCTAATGTGCCTTTTACCGTTATTCTAGGCCAACCGTTATTCAGACAAGTGGTCCTTCTCTCAACACACGGTCCGTTCTCAACCCGTAACTCACGGCCGTGTCTGAGTCATGATGTATGTGGCGTCTGTTCGAGCGTATATCAAACCGATCCCTTTCCTGATTTCGGAGGCGTCACTCGTCTTCCTCCGCTCCATCTCCGTCGGCGCCTCCGCATGCGGCGGTGGCGCCACTTCGGCGCGCCGTCGGCTCTCCCCTGCGCGCGTCCTCGGCGTGCTGTGCGGCGACCTTCGGTGATGCGGCGCACGCTTCCATGTCGCCCGCGCCACTTCGAAATTGAACCGACGGGGTCATGCGAGCGCCGCCGACCTCGTGCGAACAGCGGCAGGGCGGCGCGGTGGTGTCACCAACGGCCGGCGCTTCCCACTGGCGCGCATCGATCGGAGCGGCCAATTTTAGCCGGGTCGGCGGCGTCGGCGTGTGTCACGGCACGGCACGCCGCGTCCGACCGCGGCGCCGCACGCGCCCCGCTCGAGGTCAGCGGCAGCCGCGGCCGCGGCGTCGGCAGCGACGCACCGTTCGCCGAACTGTCGCCGGCCGGCGGCGGTCGGCGGCAGAGATGGAGCCGTCTGTCGGTCGGGCCGCGCGTCGGCCGGCGCCGCTGCCAAGTTGGGCCGTCGCGGCGGATCGGCCGTGGCAGGCGCCCCGCGCCCGCTGCTGTCGGCGTTCTCACGGGCAGATCAAGGGGGGTGGCTCCCCGCTTCTTTCGCGGCGCGCTCTTCCCACGAGGCGCGCCGCGCACCGCCCGCCCGGTCGCCGCGCCGCGTTGGCAGCGCCACATCCTGCTGGCCGGCCGAGATGCGCACCCTGGCGGCCGGCGCGCCCGCCGGCGGTCGCGGCGTCTGCAGGCGGCCAGTCCGCATCTCTGCTGCTGCAGGAGTGCGACCGGCGGCGCCGATACCATCGCCGGGACACTTATGGCGCGGCCGCAGCGGCAGATAAGCGCCGCACGGCACGGGCGCGCCCCGTCTGGGCGGGTGGATGGGGGGGGGGGGGGGGGTGACGGGCCCGGCCGGCTCGCAGCTCGTAGGTGGATAAGCCCGTTCAAGCCAGGCCATGCACAGGTGAGGCGGCGCGACATTGTCAGGACGGGTGGCGCCCGCCAGTTAAACGAGCGCAGGCTCAGCACTTACGACGTAATTGGCGTGGTGCCAGGGATGGAGTCACCAGAGCCCCCCGACCTGGCCCCGATCAGGTCAGGAGGTGTCCCTGCGCCCCCGCTTCAGCTGGGTCAGGTCAGCCCCGGCTCCACCGCCCGGGCGGGGCGAGCCGCCGGAAATGCTGCGGATGCCGCGCCGTCGACCGGCGGGGAAAATGGGCGCGGGAGCGGGCGCGCGCGCGGCCGTTCTCGGCGAACTGGCCGCCGCGAGCCGGCGCCAGGTCGGCTCCCGCCCGGCCGCGGTGCGAGCTGGCGTGGTGTCGCCGGCTGGCGTGCGTGTGGGGCAGTATCTGCAGCCGTCGCCAGCACCGCCGGACAAGGCCAGCGCCGGCCGCGCCCGGCGGCGGCGGCGGCGGTGCGCCGTGTTTGGCTGCGGCCCACAGGACGGCGCGACGATTGAGCGGCTGCAGCGTTGCCTCTGGTAGAGCAAACAGAGGGACGGCATGCAGCGGACGTGAGGGACAGCATGCAGCGGACGTGTGGCGCGGCATGCAGCGGACGTGAGGGACGGCATGCAGCGGATGTGAGGGACGGCTTGCAGCGGACGTCTGGGACGGCATGCAGCGGACGTGTGGGACGGCATGCAGCGGACGTGTGCTGTCCAGCTGCGCTCCCGAACAGTGACACCGGGGCGGCGCCGCTGCTTGGAAGCGCTCCGCCATCCCTGACACCTCTGTGACACGAAACGCCGTGTCCTTTGGACCGCGTGGCGGCCTTGCTTTCACCGTGTGGCGAACTTGTGTGCGTCGATCGGCGGCAGCCGTTGTCCGGGCCGCCGCCGCCGGGATCGGCCGGCTCGCCCCGCCCCGGTCTGTCGCCGGCGGCCGCGCCGGTGAGAGTGCGGCTGTTTTGGTGCTGGCTCCCGGCGCGCTATCGGCGCTTCGATTGTGTTGAGGTGGGGCGGGTCGGGCTATGGAGTTGGGTTACACGCGCTGTTTCCGGCCCGATAAGACATCGAGAGCGCTACTGATGTCGGCTGTTATCGTTCGGCGAGGCCTCTGTCGCTTCTGTGCGCTTCCCTGAAGTGGAGGTATGCTTGCAGCGCCACGCTAGAAAAGGAAGTACGCCTTAAATCGTGGAACGACCCATCGTCAGCAGACCTGCTCCTACCACGGTCAGATGCGCCGGCTGGGTAAACCTTCACCTTCACCCTTCACAACCCCCCCCCCCCCCCCAACAGATAGAAGAAGCGTGCCTCGTGGCCCGCGCGCGCGTCCGCGCCGATGGAGTGCAGCTCCCTCTGACCAATCCACTTCCCGGAGCTGGCGGCAGTCGGCGGCTGTGCTGACATGTGGGTGCGTTAGGCAGGCTGGTGCGACGAGCGGTGCTGAGGCGGCGGCCCGTCCGTCCGCCGCCTGCCGTCGCTGCCGGTGCGGCGTGTCTGTCTGTCGCCGTCTGGTCCGTCCCGTCCGATATGGCCACTGTCAGTGGTCTTTGTTTGAAGTGGCGAACACGGGTAGATGATGCCCCGTGTGGTGGGCGCGGCGAGCTGTCGGTGCGACGCGAGCTTGAGACGGTCGTGTGACACCGCCGCCGCTCTGTTGCAGTCGGTATGGACAGCAACATCACGCTGTGGCAGTTTCTGCTGGAGCTGCTGCTGTCCGACCAGTACACGCCCATCATTCAGTGGACGAGCCAGGAGGGCGAGTTCAAGCTGGTCAACGCGGAGGAGGTCGCTAAGCTCTGGGGTATCCGCAAGAACAAGCCGCAGATGAACTATGACAAGCTCAGTCGTGCGCTTCGCTACTACTATGACAAAAACATCATCAAGAAGGTCATGGGCCAGAAGTTCGTCTACAAGTGAGTGCGCGGGCCGGCGACAGCATCTGCCAGGATCGCGTACAGTGTGTGACACCGATATCTGCCAGGCATGTCACTTCCCCTGTGACGGCACCTGGCCGCTGTCGTAATACCCCTCTCGCACTAGTGTCTTGTACACACCAGCTGCGCCTGGAAGAGTCGGTGGCGCCGGGAGATCACCACTCAGCCGCCATTCTGGTCGGTGCATCTCCCATCTGTGACGCGGGCGTATCTGAACGAGTCTGGCGACGGCCGCCAACCGGGCGCCCCCGGCGGACCCGGCTGGCGGCCGTCACGCGCCGCGCGCAGGACGGCCCGCCTGATTAGAGCCGGTGCCGCCGGGCGTCGTGCCGAGTTCCCAGACTTAGTCCATTGAGCGTGATGCCGTCGACTTTCTGAGACGCCGGTCGCCCGGCTTCTGTCAAAGTTAGAGCTCGAACTTGGCAGCGGAGCGTTACTTGGGACGATGTCATGTGCTTTCGTGGAACCTCATGGACTCGCCATCTTGCTGCTCCGTTCCCGTCCGGATCTTTCTGACAAAGCGCGGTGCCAGGCTAGATCATGATCTCTCATTGTGAGGCTTGGTGTCGCTGTGGTGACCTATTTGGCCCCCCCTCTGGTTCCAGAACACTCTGACACGATCAAAGAATTGCTATCACTAGTTTTATTTTTAAACTCGTGTGAAACACGCAATCATTTGATGGCGCTTTATTCACCAGCCGCCGTGTCTGGTCTAAATTGGTCTATGATAATGATCCTCGTCTGACGTCACCCCGCCGAGGGCGGACGCGTGTCGTGGCAGTCGGTGCTGCCACCTTGCTCACCCGTGCTGCCACCTGCCGCCAGATTTGTGACCTTCCCCGAGCACATGAAGCTGGAGAAGTCTGTGCCATTCCACGTGAAGATGGAGCAGCTACAGAAGACGGGCGGCCCGGGCGGCGGTAGTCCGGGTACCCCCCAGCCGCCGCCGCCGCCGCCACCGCCGCCGCCGTCTCAGCAGCAGCAGCAGCAGCAGCCGCCGCCACCGTCCGCCTTGCCGAAGATGGCCGGCTTCAGTCCCTACCCCAGTGCCATACACAACAACTTGATGAGAAGTACGTGCCAGCACCATGTCATGTGAATCTGATGGTAGGCATGTCTGCATGTGCATGGGTGAATTCCCCTGATCTGCGTGACTATTTAAGATGCGAGTGTCTTGTAGGGATTATGTGCATTTTCGCCATGTTCCTATGGTTACTTCCAGTGGCATCTTGCTCCCCTCCACTTTAGGCCAAGAATGGTTTGTGTGAAAAAGTTGTTTATAATGCGTCACCTTTCTGCTGACATCTGCCTGTGTTGATGTGTCTGAAGGAGGCAGAACATTCTAGAATCATCGCCTCGCTCGATTGTCGCAGAAGGCGCTCGTGTTCGCTTAGCTGATAACATTTTATCTGTGTAAAATGCTGAAAAGAATCCATCACTCCCCCAAAAAACAACGAAAAGTGGATGTTTGATTGGACACTCGTCAAACGTGGGAACGCCGCTGTATATTGTACCACGACTCTATAAACCAAATGGGTGTCGCCTCTGGCTCGTGTTTAGGCTTGACCGGCCAGACTGCTGCCAGTATTTATTTGAACTGGTTAGACGTGCGGGCTGGGCTGTGGCGGCAGCAGCGCCGTCGGGGTTGCCCGCCCGCCGGCCCGCGCTCCGCCCGTCTCACACGCCCTTCCCGGCGGCAGGCTCATCGATGGAGTCGATGTCAATGTACCAGTCGTTTCTGCGGCACCCGTACGCCATGGGCGGGCTGCCGTCGCGCGACATGTACCGCGAGTTGCGCGGCTACCACGACCTGCCACCCGTCTCCTCGGCGCTGCCGCGGCCGCCACCGCCGCACGCGCCCGAGCCTAGCGCCGCGCACGCACCGCCGCCGCCACCGCCGCCGCCGCCGCCGCCGCCGCCGCCCCCGGCCGCCGAGGACAGCACCGACAGCGGCGGCAGCCGATCACCGTCGCAGGCACGGCCGGCCGCAGTGCGTGAGCCGCGTGTTAAGCTGGAGCCGCCCGGTACGCCGGAGCGGCCGCGCCTGCCACCCGTGCCGCCAATTTGCATCAAGCAGGAGTGCGAGCCCGAGGAGGCAGTGTCGGCCGAGGCGGACTCGCTGGCAGCGCCGTACGAGCGGCGGCCGCTGGCACTAGCCTCGCCGCGCTGCTGCTCGCCGCGCCGCTCGCCCATCCGCTCGCCCATGCCGCTGAAGACGCCCAAGTCGCCGCTGTCGCTTCTGACACCGAAGTCGCCGCTGCGCTCGCCGGCCGTGCGCAGCCGCAGCCCTGACTGGCGCGCCCAGGAGCAGCCGATGAACCTGGAGATGCCGAAGCGCGGCCCCAAGCCACGACCGGCGCACAGCAAGCCGAGCAAGCCCAAGCCCAGCCCGCTGTCCATCACGTCGATGGACTCTAGCTCACCGCTCTCCAGTCCGCACCCGTACTCAGCGAACTCGCTGAACACGCCCGTGGTTAACCTGGCTTCGCCTCCTTACCTGCCAGTCGGGCCGACGCCGACGCCGTACGCGCCGTTCCACTTCTTTCCATCGTTCTCTCCCATGGCGAACCTGAGCCCGCACTTCGGCGCCACGCAGGGCTCCATCTTCCAGTTCCCGCCGGTGCTGACATCGACGATGATGCCGCGCTCGCCGTCGCTGCCGCTACTGACGCCGCCCGAGCAGGTGGCGCCGCTCAGCCTCGTCTCGCCCAGCAAAACCATTTCGGTCAAGTTATGATATTCGGGCTCGCCGCCGCCGCCGCCGCCGCCGCCGCCGCCGCCGCCGCCGGCGAGGAACTCGTGACGCGCTTTCGGTGACGGCGCGCGTTCAACCGACTGAGGGTGCCGGCCCGCCACCCGCCGGCCAGACGCAAGTGCTGGCGGTCGCCGAGAGGTGGCGCCATGCGCGCCCGTGCCAACGCTGTGCTTGTGTCGCTGTGCCAGCCCTGGAGTTGGTCGACCCAGCCAGTGCTCCGCTACCTCTCCACCGTTGTTCTGTGGCGACGTTACGTGTAGGATGGGCATTGCGTGTCGCAGACCACGCACGTATCTCACCGTGTGGCCCCGAGCCGGACAGAAGTGGGCGACTCGGCAGTAAGGTCGGGGCGCGTGCCCGGCTCCGGGCGAGTGACTGCAATGTGTGTGCTGCTGCCGCTGCCTCGCTTGCGTCGGCCGGCCGACTTGTCCGGGGTTATTTTGTACATGGATCAGCGCCGGAGAGACCGGCCTCTTCCCAGCTCATCCTGACATCAGTGCCTTGTAAATATATATAAATATATACACACACGAATACACAAACACACACACATGCATACATACCAACATCAAGTACCTGTTGGCTGCTCTTTCAGTTACCGCGCGAGGCGTGAGCTGATGAGACAGCCCGGTAGATCGAACCGGTTAGACGTATGGCTCCACATTCAGGGTCTAGTGTGAGGCAAAAATTCGCTCCGTTGTTTTGTTTGGTAGGGATCTTCAAATCAGATCAGCTAGATGCTTTATTTGGTTTTGAAGCTGGTCTTTCGGGTGAGCGTTGGCACAGCGGTCACTGTGGGCGGCCGAGGCCGCTGTTGGTGTTCGTCTTTCTCGCCAGGAGCGGCGCCATATGAGGGTGAGCCGAAGCGCGTGGGGGGAAGGTTTGCTTGGACGGACGGTGCTCGGAGTAGTTTGTTAACTCGCCATGCCATTAATGTTCGCATTTATTGTGAGCCAAGCGGCCGTGTATGCTGGTATTCCTCGTTCGCACATCAGTCGGTGTTTCTTTTCAGTGTTGTCTCTCCGGCTGCCTTGAGTGTTGGATTAACATGAGTTTCCATCGCCACACTTCCGCCGCTGCACTTGTACGCTTTCTTCCAACGTGCCGTTTCCCTATCGGCTACTGATGTATCCTGGCCGGCCGTGGTGCGCCGCCCCGCTCGGGACGTCCCCCGTGTGCGCTGACCCCGGCCCGGCGCGCGCCGGCCCAGCGTCGACCTCAGTGTGGTGGCCGGGTGGGCGCCCGCCGCGCTGCCTCCTCGCTCTCCTGCCCTGCGCCGCTGATCAGTGCCGGCGAGGCGGCTGTCCTTTTCCCGCGGCCGCGCGCCAGCCCGCCACCGCCGCCCCCCGGTCTGCCTGTAAATACTGTACGCGACGCCCGCCAGATGGCGCCACAGATATGAGCCGATTATTTTGGTATTGATGACTTGTGATACAAGTATTGTGCTGTTTGCGTGAATACAATGTGCCAACCGTTCATCGTTAAAGGAGAAATATACCGTTCAACATAAAGCGCAGTCTCGCCTGCCGCAGCTGTCAAACCGCAGTGAGAAAAGCTCGATTGAGACGGCCGAGATTGAGTTGCAGTGGCCAGTTCCACGCCTCTCGGGAACCTCCTCTGCTGGTGCCGATATCAGGTGTGATGGACGGCGAGGCATTAGTGCCGCCTGACCGGCATCGCCTGCTGGCTCAACGGAGGTTTAACTGGTGGGCTGGGCTGTTACCGGGCGCCGGCGGGGAGCGAGCCGATGGCTGTACCGGGCCGGCTCCAAGGTCGGCTGACCGCAGCCGGGAGCGCAGCAGGTGACTCAGGCGGCAGGCCGGCCGCCGCTCCGCTGTCGGCCGGCACACGGGCCGCCTGTCTAGTAGCCGCCTCGCCGAGCGCCGGCCGGCCGCTAGCCCACATACCTGCGCCGCGGCGGCGCTGGCCGCCGGCCCGCCGGCCGGCAGGGCACGGTGCAGGACGGGAGCCTGCCGCGTCCGCCGAGCAGCCGCCAGCTGCGCCCCAAACGGCTAGCGCCGCTGGCGGGGTTTCTCCATGGCACAGACTGGCAGTGTGACCGCGGCCAAGGTGTCGTGCGACGCGATGACGCGGCCTCTGACCCTGCGCGGGCCCCTGGCGGCCGGGCATCGCGCAGTTATGCCCAGGGCCTGGCTGCCTGAGACTTCAACGGGCGGGCTGACGGCGGCCAGGTGTGCGGCGGGCTCGGCGCCCAGGCCAGGTGAGGTGTAATGGCCGTGCGCCCGGGGCACCGCCCGGCCAGGGGCTGGCTGCCCTCCACCAGCAGTGCTACCCGGGCCGCCGCCCTCCACCAGCAGTGCCACCCTGGCCGCCGGCGGGTGGAGAACGCTCCGCTGGAAAGAGCCGGCGGAGGGTCCGCCGAGCTGTGGGGTGTGTGATGACGCTGTCTGTCTGTCCGCCGGCCTTGATTGTGTGCATTACCGTCATTATGTCACCCTGGCCTCTGCCGCTCCGATTAGAGGGCGTCCACCTAGGGTTCTGTGTTTGGGCGTTGGATTAGCGCAGTTGGCAGGACTTTCCGAGAAGACTTCCCGCTGAGATGTTCGAAAGACTGACGTCTTTGCACCTTTATTGCGCTGCTGCAGTGGTGGCAGTTTTGCATCACTCTCAGTGCCCTATATATAGACATGATCATCTAGGTCCTTAGCATTCGACTGGCTACGCCAGCTGAACTCCATTTCTCGGATCTTAGCCCTCGAGTGCAGTTTCCGCTCGTCACTCTGCGGCAATGAAAGCCACCGAATAAGGTTCGGTCAGATAACAGAACGACTCCCTTCGGATGTGATAAAGCCGACGCCCAATATTTGGACCGGTGCAGCGGAACCAGCCTCAGAAGTGTGTGTGAACCTCATTCCCGTACGTCTATTTCGATGCCGGCCATTTCGCCGTTTCCGCCGCCAATCATGGCTAGATCAGCTGTCAAGGCTTTGGGCAAATCACGAACAACCTCCGTGATTGCAGACGTAGCCAATTGTGGATAGGAGCCTCAAGACGGGAGCCTCAAGACAAAATGCCGACATATCGCCGAACGGCTGCCATTTCCCTCACGCTATTTAGTACAAGCTTTGAGAAAACGATATGCTGTATCGGAAAAGCCGAATATCATCCAGCCTGTACGGAGTAAACTGCAAGACAGACTCAGAAATGAAAGCACATTCCGCTGAACACGAACAAGTAACTCTTGCCAACCATGTGCCCATAATCAGCCAGCGGCGCGTCTGTGACCGGCGGGCGGCCGTCCCTTCGTGACCCCTGCCCGGACGGACCACGGCCAGTCCGTTACCGGGACCTCTGGGTGCAGTCACACAGTCACTGGGTCGGCTGAACACAAGCCGCTGTTCGCGGGACGACGCGAAAAAAACAGAGTCGTGTTGACGGCCGGGCTGCGATTGGATGACAGCCGCTTCCTCCCGGCACCAGCCCCCCTTCCTGCGCATCCCGACAAAAACTCCCCCTGGCCGGTCGGCGCAGCCACCGCGTGGGAAGCGGCGTATCTGTGCCAGCGCAGTGAGCACGAGAGGGGGGTGGGGGGGGGGGGGGACGAGCACTCGGATTTACTCACTGCCGCTCATGGTTAAACATGTGGCCTGACGAACGGTGGGGAAGGACGGGAGAATGAACGACAGGGTGAGTGTTATGGAAGATTGGGATGGGGAGAAGTGAGAGAAGGGAGGTGCATGCAATAGTTTTCTAGCATTTTCAAAATCTAGCGATCTTGCTAATCATGGAACGGATCTCCGTTCTTTTAAAGATACGAGATGGCTGCTATACGAGCTGGATGGCTGCTATTACCAGATCAGATTTCCAACACAGCGCATCGGTCTGTTATACACTAAAACTGTTGGCGCAGCTCAGGCATAAACATTACATTTTAGCGACAGCTCTTTATTTCGGAATTGCACGTGTCTTGCACGATGTTTATTGAAGTATGCATTGATTCTAATGGATTAACACAATAAGCTGGTGTTATTTGGGTGGTATAAACGGTTCATTGAATGATAGGTCGCCGAATTCTTGCGGCATCGAAAGACAAAGCAATGCGTGTGCGTTTCGTTAAAGCACTTTTAAACCACTGAACCTAATTTAAATCTGATTTGTTTTCAGCTTTTTTTGGAAAGAGTCTGAAATCTATACCAAGAAAGACATGGTCATTCGCTATACGAAAGTACATTTTTTACTTCTTTTAGCTCGTTCTAGACACCATATATCGGCGTGCGGTTCCTAACTTTGTGAATGGGACTCCCTGGTGACAAATGGCTGAGGTTGTGCGTAGTTGAATGCTGTCTTATGCTTTTTTGCGTCGTGCAATAAGGCACAGGCACTCTTAATTGCACGGCCATGGCGGACGTCCCGGCAGCGTGATAGAAACTGAAACATGAAAACGCAAAAGACGTTCTGCAAACGTAACGCTAAATTGATCTGCTGAGATCACCACAAATATTAAGCACGGATGGCAAAGACACTGCTCTGAGCCGAGTACGAAGACCACTCTACGCCATCATTGTTCTCTGGTTGTCCGCTTTGTCGCTATGGCCGTTAAGCCGCCGAAGGAAATCGACCTATTGGTTTAAGGCTTTGCCTATCAGGCTCAAACTGACTTCTGTACGCTTCACAAATGACAGCAAGCTATCTGAATGTACAGAAGTCACGCGATTGAAAAGGATTGGATTGGGCTTCACCAGACATTTTTAGTTTCTTACGCAGACAGATGCAGCGCGTCGTCACGATCACGCATACAGATGCAGCGCGTCGTACAATTACGCAGACAGAAGTGGCGCATCGTCATGATCATGCAGACAGGTGTGACGCGTCCTCACGTATCATGCGGTGCACTTTGTTTTGACCAGCCGTTCCCTCCCCACGCAACCATGTTTTTCCATTGTCTTGGGTTTAGCATGCTGGGAGAGGGCCCGTAGGCCGCCGTGTAACCCGTGTTTCAGCAGCAGTTATGGTTGTGAGGACCAACGCGACCAGCGCGGATGTGTCCGCAGCACCTTCCGTGCTTGGTTTAGCTTGGTTTGGGTTGAGTTAAAGTCCTTTCAACCAGTAGCAGCTATTATACCGCTATATACCGGGGGGGGGGGGGGGGGGGGGGTACTGGTGTGGCAGTGCGCCGCCGAACCTGCCGGGCACAGATACCCTTCCATGAAGCTTGTGCCGGCGCCCGGGCAGAGCTGCCGCCAGCGCGGCTGGGCGACCGCCTCATGGCCGACGACCCCTACACCACTCGCTGGTACAGGCTTTAGGACGCATTCCGATGAAGCGTTGAGTAAGACAAGCTGGGGATGTTTTTCTATTGCTGCTATCTTGATTGGGATTGGAACCCTTTTGGCCAGCACTGGTCATTTCATGATCATGTGATGAAGTGGGAAACCTCCTCTAACGAGCTAGCCTTGCCTTGCGGAAAGTAAAGCCTGGCTGATAAATTTGTGTCTATTGGGAGTTGGGAGCCAAGAGAGTCTTGCGACGGCTCAGGGAGCGCGGCGGGCGTAGATGGCGCTACAGTAAATCCGCCGTAGCTAACGTGGAGTCGATAGGCTATTTCATCATCTTCTGTGGAAGCAATGGCAGGTTCAGGAGGCAACCAACCATGCCAGCGGCCGCACAATCACCTGTAACCAGCTATGCCCACAGGCATGATGCAGTCCCACTGGCGCCTCTTGTGCCAGGATGGAGTAAGCTCCAGTGGCGAACTATTCGCAGCGTTCCTGGAAACCAGGATGCTACTGCTGAACACGCTGTCTACTGCAACGTGTCAAGTTGCGTCATCCGAGCCGGCCATGGCCGACGCTCAATGACAATCTGCGAGACTTGCAAACCCGGCGGGACCAAGCCTAAACACGAGAGTGTCGCACCGCGCGTGGCATCCAGTGGATGGGCACAGGTCTTTTTCAGGAGAGAATTCAAACGCTAAGTCGTAAGCGACCGCGCTGAATGCTTCTCGACATCTCCAACCTCATAGGAGATATAGACTGGATCGCGCAAGCCCACTCTTGGTCACAGTTTGTGGACTGGACCGCACAAGCCTGCTCTCGGTAACAGTATGTGAGACTGGATCACACAAGCCCACTCTTGGTCACAGTATGTGAGACTGGACCACACAAGCCCACTCTTGGTCACAGTATGTGAGACTGGACCACACAAGCCTGCTCTCGGCCACAGTATGTGAGACTGGACCACACAAGCCCATTCTTGGTCACAGTATGTGAGACTGGATCACGCAAGCCTGCTCTCGGTCACAGTATGTGAGACTGGACCACACAAGCCTGCTCTCGGTCACGGTATGTGAGACTGGACCACACAAGCCTGCTCTCGGTCACAGTATGTGAGACTGGACCACACAAGCCCACTCTTGGTCACAGTATGTGAGACTGGACCACACAAGCCCACTCTTGGTCACAGTTTGTGGACTGGACCACACAAGCCTGCTCTCGGTCACAGTATGTGAGACTGGACCACACAAGCCCATTCTTGGTCACAGTATGTGAGACTGGACCACGCAAGCCTGCTCTCGGTCACAGTATGTGAGACTGGACCACACAAGCCTGCTCTCGGTCACGGTATGTGAGACTGGACCACACAAGCCTGCTCTCGGTCACAGTATGTGAGACTGGACCACACAAGCCCACTCTTGGTCACAGTATGTGAGACTGGACCACACAAGCCCACTCTTGGTCACAGTTTGTGGACTGGACCACACAAGCCCACTCTCGGTCACAGCTTGTGGACTGGACCACACAAGCCCACTCTTGGTCACAGTATGTGAGACTGGACCACACAAGCCCCCTCTTGGTCACAGTATGTGAGACTGGACCACACAAGCCTGCTCTCGGTCACAGTATGTGAGACTGGATCACACAAGCCCACTCTTGGCCACAGTATGTGGACTGGACGCATGGACGTACCGGACACGGCTGCAGCGAACGCCTTCGGCTCGCACGTGAGGCACGACATGGCCGTGGGTCTGTCGAAGCGCCAGTGTGACCCACTGCTGCCCTGCCCGCCCACCGTGTGCAGCTCGCCACACGCCGGCCAGTCAGCTGCACCGCCAGAGATCAGTACCGCCCTGCAGTCGATGAGTAGCTCCAGGGCGGGAACGGGCGGGGCGCCGCCAGAGCTCAGCACCGCCCTGGGACCGGTGAGCAGCCTCAGGGCGGGGGGGGGGGGGGTCGGGGCGCCGCCAGAGCTCAGCACCGCCCT